CATGCTGTGCGCTGCCGGGCGGTGTGTGCTGCGTGCTGCCAGGTGGTGCGCGCTGCCATTGCCGGGCGATGCGTGCTGCTGGGCGGCCCGCTGTGCGTGCTGCTGCCCATGACTGCGCTGTAGTGTGCTGTCGGGTGGTGTGTCTATAACATCTCTCTCTCTAGATTTCATTGTTTTCTCATACAATCTCAATGCTTGTACTGATTTCAAGGATCTTGAGCCAACAACCTTACAGCTGTTGGCTCCACAAAGTAATTCTTACTCGTGACGGTTCTAAGCATATGCTCCATGTTACGTATAGAACCTAGAATATAAAGAGATTCTCAGTGTTTTAAGAAGTGCGTCCATGGTAGACAGGACAGTCATATTGATGACCTTGAATGAAACATGGGCGGGTCCTGGCTCTGTCATCGACCTTTTCCTCCAGAGCTTCCGGCTTGGCGAAGGGACAAAACGCCTATTGACCCATTTGGTGGTCGTCACTGTGGACCGCAACGCTTTTGATCGCTGCAAATCCATACATCCCCACTGCTATTTCCTCACTACCCCAGCCCTAGGCGTCGACTTTGCTGCTGAGAAACGGTTGGTGACAGTAGACCACTACCTCAACTTTAGTTGCAGGAGAATCGCCTTCTTGCTCATGGTCCTGGAATTGGGCTGCTGTTGTTGAAAGTAGCCTGGGCATTAATGAAAGGGAAGAGAAAGGGGAGGAGAGAAAAGGGAAGGGGAAGAAGAAAGGGGAAGGGGAAGAAGAGAAATCGGGGGAGAGAGAGAAATGTGAAGGAATATGAGGTAGCACTGTTGTTCATGTATCGTGAGGTCGGGGAAGATGAACAGTGTTTTTCTCCCAATTGTCTCATGGTCATAGTACAGGGGGGTCTTTGTCGCAGAACAAAGTACAGGGGGGTCCCCCATATTGTTGGTCAATGATAAAGACCCCTTATACTTTAATTTGCGATAAAAACTCCCTTGAACTTTAGCTATTAGACAAAGACCCCTTTGTTAGCATTTCACCAGTTAACTTAAAAAGGGATTTTCATCCTACTAAATGCTCAAATTACCCTTTTCTCTCCCAATGAAACATCGGAGGGTTTTGATCTCATTAACATCAACAAGTCCAAGCTTGAAGAAGAATGCCCGACAACAATGTCTTGCACATATATTCTCGTTTTAGCTGCAATAGATGGCATTGCTCTAGTCTTTCTCTTTCTCTTTATTGTTTTATCATCTAACTTTTT